TTTGCCATCTAGGGGTGGGCTTTACTCATCTTTACAGACTCGCAAATATTGTCACACTTCACTTACATATTGTATTGGATCAAGTAGAAGAACTGATAATCGGAACTTCTCGGATGGCTTGCCTACAAACCTTGGGAATTACTATCTTATATGCTAGAAACAACACTGACCTACCGGATTTATCCAGGGACCCTGATCCCTGTAAAAGTGTACAGGATCTATATCTTCACATCGACGGTCGACCGCTATCACTGATGCAAAAGGAGTCGCTGGATCCTATCTCCGTCACTTCCAGCAAAGGATGGCAAAGGCCTTTCCATCAGTCCAAAAATTGAGATTGGGCAAGCCTTCTCCTGAGCTAACTTCGCTTTATGGTGAAGACAGTTTCTCCAGACTCTCCGAGCTAAGTCTTTTGCAATCGTTTGATCCGAAAGAGGCGATTTTCCTCTCATCTTTTATCCGCCAATTGTCCCTACATGATGGAACTGAGCTCTCTGATCTCCTTTGTATGCTAATAGCACCTTCCGTAGAACGGCTCATTATTAAAAGGTATTGGAGGGGACTGAATTCGAATCCGTCCAGGAATATCCCCAAGCTGCATCCTAGAAACTGGCCATCGCTCACCACCTTGATTACTCCCATTTCTATCATATCTGGTAAAGAGAGCCGATTCATCTTTCTCAGGGATATGGAACTTTGGGCGTATTATGACCCGATATATTGCAATGACTACGATGGAGGTGTAACTAGGCTTTTCAAAGAGATGGCGATCAATACGACTAACTTTCCTGCGTTGGAAAGCTTGACGCTTCCCTTTTTCCCTGATGGGACGTTTTTTTCATTATGCTCGAGAGGCGCAATGTCACCCGACCTCGGGGTGTCAGTCCACTTAAAGAAGTTAGACTACCAGTGTTTTGTCCGAAAGCGTTGCTGGGTGCTATCCAAATGTTATTGACAGGTAAATTTTCAGAACAATTTACCAGATACGAATTATCATTTCAAGGTAATTTCGACTTGATTGCCGATACCGATGTGTAAGTACGAGCATATCAAAAACCAGTTTCT